CACACACACACACACACACACACACACACACACACACACACACGCACGCACGCACATACATACACAAACACACAAACACACAAACACACACACAAATACACGCACAAATACACGCACAAATACACACACACGCACACACACACAAACACACACACAAACACACACGCACGCACACACACACACACACACACACACACACACACACACACACACACACACACACACACACACACACACACACACACACACACCCCACACACACACTCAAAACACATGTTTGAAGTATTTTTCTGTAATTATAATTTTTAGTTATTGAGTACATTTGTGTCATTTTGCATTTTTAAAGATAAAATTACCATTATTATCACCCATAAGTTTATCTCTAATAATATTTACGTCGTAAATATTATTAGAAATAAACTTATTAACATTAATGGTAAAATATGGCATTTGGCAGAGCAGTTTCATGATTATCATCGTTATTGCATCATTATTATCATTAGCGTTGTTACTATTGTTTTTATTATAATTATTGTTATTATCATTATTATGTTATTGCTGTTATCATTCTTATTGTTGTTGTTGTTATCATTATCATTGTTTTATTATTATCATCATTACTGTTACAATTGTAGTTATCATCATTATTATAATCATTATTCTTGTTATCATTCTTATTCTTATTATTATCGTTAGTATTAATATTTTCATTATTATTATCATCATTATTGTTATCATTATTATTATCATCATTATTGCTATCATTATTATTATCATCATTATTGTTATCATTATTATTATCATCATTATTGTTATCATTATTATTATCATCATTTTATCACCCTTATCACTGTTATTATTGTTATCAACATCATCATCACCATCACCATCTACTCTTTATCATCATTACTATAATTATCAACAATATCATCAGTATTTTTCCAATTATCATTGTTATTATCATTTATATTTATCATTACCCGTTTTCTTTGATTAGCCAGAATGAAAGCAGAGATACTGACTTCAACACGAGGAAGGAAGGTTAGTTTTTGAGACGTCAATTTTTTACTTTAAATATAATTCATATTTGGAATTAGTAACATATATTGAAGGATAATGGACGATTAGAAATATTTAAGACACATTGGAGGTTCATAGACATTTAGAATTATTCAAACACATTGGAGGTTAATAGACACTTTGAATTATTAAAACATAAAGATAACAGACAATTAGAATTATTAAAACATATTTAAAGATAATAGACATTTGGAAATATTAAAACAGTGAAAGATAATAGATATTTAGAATTACTCAAAACAAAGATAATGCACAATCATAATGATTAAAACACTGAAAAATAACAGACATTTATAATTATTAAGATGTATTTAAGGATAACAGCAACAGTAGCAATAATTACAAAGAAAAAGAAAATAATATGATTGTTTGTGTGTTTATCCACTTTATTTCTTCAATTAATTAACTAATTATGTTTTATTCCTTCATTTATCTTACTAATTCTTAGTTTATTCCTTCATTTATCTGACAAATTCTTAGTTTTATTTCTTCATTTACTTAACAAATTCTTATTTTTTTCCTTCATTTATTTAACAAATTCTCAGTTTTATTCCTTCATTTATCTAACTAATTCTTTGCCTTATTCCTTCATTAATTTAACTAATTCATAGTTTTTTTTTTATTCATTTGACTAACGATTCAGTTGTATTTTGCAGTGAGGAGTGACGAGAGTCCCCTGTTCTGCCCGATGCCAGCGCTTCGAACCGGCGCGCAGTTCCGGAAAGTGTTGACGACCATCGATATACCTTGTGATAATGTGGTAAGAGCTGGGTGGAGTTTACGTATGTACATACACACGCATAAACACGTATATGTTTATGCACATGTACAGGGAGATGCACATACATACGCACATGCACATGTACGCACACGCAGATGTATATGCATATGTACAGGGACAAGCACATACATACGCAGATGCACATGTACGCACACGCACATATATATGCACATGCACAGGAACATGCACATACACACGCACATGCACATGCACTCGCACATGCACACGCACGCAAACGCACACGTACCCCCCCACACACACACACTCACACCATCTCCCCTAGTTTCAGACGAAAATCAACCCTCATTATATATTCCCAAAATCCCTAATTACTACCTGGTCGAGCGTAATTAACTCTAACACACCTGGCGCGAATTCACAAGGTATGTTTTGGAAATATACATGTTATTACGACACTTAATTACCATTTCCGTAGATGATCATCATAGAAATTGCATATTTTTAGTACCATGAGATTTTTTTTTTATACTTTTCGAATATTAGTCAATAAACTATTCTGTTAAATAGAGGAGACTTTTTGATTATGGTTACAAATTGAACTTATAAAGACGAGTGATGATTGTGGCAGTTATATATTTATTTTATCAAGTAGAAGAGCCTATTAATTAAGGCAGTTATATATCATATTAAAAAGGTAAGACTGTTAAACAAGACAATTATATATTCATCTCACTAAACAGCTAAAATATTAACTATGACAGATACATATTCGTTTCACTAAACAGACAAGACTGTTAATCATGATCCATATACACTTAAGGGCCATAATTTAATTTATTCCTATTCATCATTAACCCTTAAATCAACCAACCATTTTTTCTGTACCGTATCAGAGCCTGACGTTGGCGACCATGTTTAATTTCATGGTTGTACAAGGGAGTGTACGAAGGTACATTCCCATTGCTTCCTTCGGGTGATTGAAGTAGATCATCTGCTTGCATTTCTGTAATCATTGTCTTTTGGCGTCGTAGCTCTTCAACTGATCATGCTGCCTCTGCACCGCGATCACCTGATTAGATGCCCTTCCTAATCAACCGCGGTTCGGTGCTATTAACACCTGTGTCACGGCGGCGACTTCCCCTACGACACGTGCGTTTGACTTCTCAAGGTGATATCTCGTTTTCTCGCCGTGAGATCGGACTCGAGCCAGCAGTAGGAGCGCAGGCAATCTTACGACCGCCACGACGGGGAATTGAACACGGGTTCTAACCACTGAACGAACCAACCATTACCTAAGATAATTTCGCTCTTCACAGACGACGTTCGGAGGGCCGCCCAGAGGCAAGAAAGGGTCATCGAAAAACGTCTGTCTCGATGCAAGGTTCGGCGTCATTCCCGGCAGGTGCGTCGTCTTCTCCTTCGGCATCAACCACGACTGGAGTTTCGAGGATGAGATGGCGGAGTTCGGGTGTAAGGTAGGCTTGAGAGAGAGAGAGAGAGAGAGAGAGAGAGAGAGAGAGAGAGAGAGAGAGAGAGAGAGAGAGAGAGGAAATGGGAGAGAGAGTGACTGAGAGTGGGAGTGAGAGTAAGAGTAAGAGAGAGAGAGAGAGAGAGAGAGAGAGAGAGAGAGAGAGAGAGAGAGAGAGAGGAAATGGGAGAGAGAGTGACTGAGAGTGGGAGTGAGAGTAAGAGTAAGAGAGAGAGAGAGAGAGAGAGAGAGAGAGAGATAGAGAGAGAGAGAGGAAATACCCATAACTCAAGTAATGTGGCAAACAGGTGACGCCAGGTTATGTCTTTTTTGTAAATCCTTAGGCATAACAAAATGGCATCTATACACGAAAATCGAAAAAAAAAGATCCAGAAAATTTGTCTCACACTCGTTAACCCATTCCACAGGATAAACGAATGTAAATAAATCATAATAACGATGATAAAACCATCACCATCACCATCATCATCATCATCACCATCATCATCATCATCATCACAACTCTTCTTGCTAATCCTGTCTCTTCCCACAGGTATTCGCTTACGACCCGACAATGGACGTCGAGAGCCACCAGCGATCCCCGAACGTGCAGTTTTTCGCCACCGGGATTTCCAACTACAACGGGACGAAAGTGATAGGGATGGGGAAGAACTGGAAGGAACGGAAGGTGCGTGGTGGTGGTTCGTTAACGGTGGTGCGTGTGTGGGGGGGGGGATGGGAGTGGGTGAGAGGGAGAGGGAGAGAGAGAGGAAAGAGTGGGAGAGGGAGAGAAAAGGAGAGATAGGGAGAGGGAGAGGGTGAGAGATAAGGAGAGAGAGGGAGAGGGAGAGAAAGGGAGATAGGAAGAGTGTGAGAGGGAGGGAGAGGGGGAGGGAGAGGGTGAGAGAGAGGGAGAGGGTGAGAGAGGGGGAGAGAGAGGGAGAGAGGGGGAGAGGGAGAAGGAGAGGGTTTCTGTTTCGCACAGATACTTAACCACCATCCCTGCTTTGAAAAAAAAATAGATAGAAATAAATTTTAGATAATGATAAAAATTAATAAATAGATGAATGAATAAGTAAATAAACACATCTATCTCACAAATAGAATGGAATTTGTGGAATAGTTTAGATCTGTTTTAGTGTGATTGTGTGCTGGGTTGAGTTTTGCGTGGTTGTGGTCAGGCTGGATGTGATGATGGTAATAGTAATAATAATAATAATGATGAGGATAATAATGATAATAATGATAATAATAATAATAATAATAATAACAATAATAATAATAATAGTAGTAGTAATAATGATAATAATAATAATAATAATGATAATGATAATAATGATAATAATAATGATGATGATATTGATAGTGAGGATACTGATAATGATAATGATAATGGCAATAATGATGATAATTATAACAATAATGATAATGATAATATTAATAGTTATAACATTATCATCATCAGTATCATCATTCTTATTCTTGTATCATTATCACTTTCACTATCGCCATCATTATACACATAATTACCACCATTAGTTATCACCATCAATTTTCATCGCCAGCATTTATAATTACTTCCCACCATCACTCATTATCACAATTTCTCTCCGAAGTCCTTTCCCCCCCCCCTTCCCCTCAATAACCCAGGTAAGGGAAGCGGGGACGAGGGATACCATTACCATTATTAGCTGTTATCATAATTTTCATAATTTTATCAGCATTTCTCATTACTTACCATCATCACCAAACACCATTATTATTGCAGTTTCTCTTTGACGCCTTTTTTCTTTTCATTCCTCCTATTCGCTTTTCCCTCTCCCCTCTCCCCTCTCCCTTCTCCCAGGTGGGGCTGGAGGGAATAATTTTAATAATTTCATCAGTATCGTTACTTAGCATCACCACAATTACATCACAATTTCTCTCCGACGCTCCTTCCTTCCCTTTCACTCTCCCCCTTCCCATTACCATTATTAATTATCATCATAATTTTCATAATTTCATCATCATTCATCATTACTTCTCACTATCACCATCATCTCTTCATTATCATCATTTCTTTTCCTTTCACCGTCTGCCCGTTTCGAAAACCTGACAGAGGAGGTGGGACTGGAAGGAAGAATTTAAATCATGTCATCAGCATTTACCATTATATCTAACTACCGCCTTTATCACAATTTCTCTCCGATACTCCTTCTTCGCCTTTCAGCCTCTCTCCTCCTCCTCCCCCCTTCCAGATGGACCGTTTCGAGAACCCGGTGAAAGAGGCGGAACTGGAAGGAAGTATTTGAATCATTTCATCAGTATTTACCATTAAATCTCACTACCACCACCATCACAATTTCTCTCCGTTGCTCCTTCACTTTTCAACTCCTCCCCCTCCCCTCTTCTAGGTGGACCGCTTCGAGAACCTGGTGAAGGAGGCGGGGATGGAGGGCCGGCCGATCGACGTGGTGAAGTTGGACGTCGAGCTCTCTGAACTCGACTTCCTGCAGGACATGCTCTTCAACTCTCGCCACGTCCTCAGGAACATCAAACAGCTGGCCATGGAGATACATTCTCATTTCAAAAGTATGGGATGCAGACAGTGGCGAAGATAGAGGGGGGACAAGGGGGGGGGGCAGAAAACCCCCCTCTAGAGCTAAACTGCCATTTTGTTGGAAAATTGCTAATCTTGTCGGAAAATATTCATGAAAAAACGAAAATGCTTATCAATTTATTGTCGGAAAATCTGCATTTGTCGCCCCCTCTATAACATTTCCTATCTACGCCACTGGATGCAGAGAAGGGAGTTTGAGAGGGGAGGAGTAAAAAATATATAATAATATTTATTTTGTGTGTGTGTGTAATAAATGGCGTCACTACACTTTAATGTAATAGTAATACATATATATTTACATGTCCATACTCTTATATGTTTATGTAAACAGGTTCTCCATTCAACGAAAGGTTATTACATGTCATACTGTTAGGAACAGTTATCTGACTATAGACCATTGATTTACATTCGGGTATTCCGCGGAGGGTACAGTCACAGACAAAAGATTTGACCGTCAGTGAAGCTTCGGAATATTTGCAATTCGAAAGAACAAGATTCACGTTAGTGTTCGAAGCGAGATTCGAACCTATTTGAGTTTTTGTCCCGATTATTATCATTATTATTAACATTATTATTATTATTATTATTATTATTTTTTTTTTTTTTTTTTTTTTTTTTTTTTTTTTTTTTTTTTTTTTTTTTTTTGCTCCGGGTAAAGTGATGAGTTTGAGATCGCAAAATCGAATTTGGCGCTTGAACCCACTGAAATAAATTAATATACTAACGTTGAGAAAATTAAAGATGTAAAATTATATTAAAAAACAATGCTACGTAGGTGGTGGTCTGACTTGTGATAATCCTTTGTGCTGATGTTTAATAACGAAATGGGTTTTGCCAAGAACGGCTAGTGGTGATATAACTCGTTAGTCAGTGCGTGATGTTGAATATATCCTCTATGTATATGGTCAAGTACACACACACACACACACACACACACACACACACACACACACACACACACACACACACACACACACAAACAAACACAAACACAAACCTATACCCCATATGCATGTAAGATCATCACAGACTACATCTTTGCATATAAATTTACACACACAGTAAACCCCCTTCATTTGATACCCCTTCCTTTCCTCTATTTACAGGTAATAATGTAGGATCAACAGCTACTTCCCAGGTGTTCTGGCCGTACCTGAACCTCATGAGATGCGCCGGTTTTAAGCTAATAAGCTCGGAATCAGGGGGTTATTGGAGAGAAGTTGTGTGGGCGCAGGAGAGAGTGTGGTAATAAAGAGATTTCAGTGTTTAAGGGCGTGCATTTGTTTGAGAGTGGTGTGTATGTGTGTGTGTGTGTGTGTGTGTGTGTGTGTGTGTGAGTTTTTGGTGTTTTGTGTGTGTGTGATTTTGGTGTTTTGTGTGTGTGTGATTTTGGTGTTTGTGTAAGAGTTTTTGTTTTTTTGTGTTTGTGAGTTTTTGGTGCTTTGTGTGTGTGAGTTTTGGTGTGTTATGCGTCTGAGTTTGGATGTTTGTGTGCGTAAAGTTTTGATGTGTATATGTCTGAATTTTGTTTATGTGGAGATCTAATGAATGTGTAAACATCGCATAATAATATGTAAATGAATGGTAATATGCACTCTGCAGAAAATGTGATAAGTTCAAAATTAAAAACGTTATGAGACAAAGCATCAATAATTCCCCTTTAATATGCCTTCGTTAGCATACAAATAGATTTTATGTTGATGTTTAGCTTTTCTTCATATGATTAAGTACCTACTTGTATATCTGTATATCTTGGGGATACTATGGACAACGCAAAAAAAAAAATGTAAATGTATACATATAATATTTATGTATATATACATATATATATATATATATATATATATATATATATATATATATATATATATATATATATATATATATATGCTTATATATGTATATATATATATGCACATATATGTATGGAATTCATGTCAAACAAATTGCAGGAAGAACAACGAAGGGAAGATCAGGAAAACACACGAATATGCCGAAGGCCTTTTCGCAATTTATTGCTTCTTCAGGGCATACATAACAAGAGATACATAGAAGTATATATACTAGTACTGGGCGGTCAGGTCACGTTGGTGATCAGGTGAGCGACGACCTTGGCTAGTTCGTGGCTCCCCGTAGCGGTGTTGAAGTTGTTTGTTGAGTGTATGTATGCCGCTTCCACCATCTTCCTTTGCCGTGGGGGCAGGCCTTGCTTAATGATGGAGGCCTGGGACCACTTGGGGAGATGGCCGTCGGTGTTGACGTGAACGACGAAGGCGCTTCTCGTGTCGTGTCGTCGGAGGGCGCCGCGATGTTGGTCTATTCGTCGTTCGTGGAGGCCACGTCCTGTCTCACCTATGTAGACTCTATCGCAGCCGCCGCAAGGAATGCTGTAAACCTGGCTAAGAGGTCTGTTGTGGTCTGACCTCTTTTCCCTTACGATGTCTCCGATCTTTTTACCGGACGTGGTGGCTATCTTCATCGTATGGCCCAACAGGGCCTCCAGGTGATGCGTCAGCTGCGAGTGTGGGATGATGATCCTGTGTGTTTTGTTCTGTGTTGCGTCCCCTCTTGGTCTGGACATGATCTTCTCTGCCTTGCGTCGGAGGTGGGCGAGCAAAGCGCGAGGGTAACGTAGGCGTTGGAAGGTGTTGTTGACGTGTTGCATTTCTTCCTCCAGGTATTCCGGGCTGCAGATTCTAAGAGCTCGAAGGAAGAAACCAATGACCATGCCTTCTTTGGTCCTATTGCTGTGGGCGGAGAAATAGTGAATGAAATCATCTTTATTAGTGGGTTTTCTGTATACAGAGAATACCGGACCGTCTGATCTCCTATGGATTATGGTGTCGAGGAAAGGCAGCTGTTCGTTACTCTCCTCTTCTGTGGTGAACTGTATCGATGCGTGCACGGCGTTCAGTCTGTGGAGGAGGTTATGAAGGTCAGTTCTGGTGGGTAATACAGCGAGGATGTCGTCTACGTAACAACAAATCCAATCCGGGGACTTGCCATGGGCTCACCCCTTTCAGCAGTCCTCGCCCAGCTGTTCATGGAAACCCTCGAGGCTGACCACTACCGGAACATCGTGGGGAGGAACGTAGTTTGGCTCCGTTACGTAGACGACATCCTCGCTGTATTACCCACCAGAACTGACCTTCATAACCTCCTCCACAGACTGAACGCCGTGCACGCATCGATACAGTTCACCACAGAAGAGGAGAGTAACGAACAGCTGCCTTTCCTCGACACCATAATCCATAGGAGATCAGACGGTCCGGTATTCTCTGTATACAGAAAACCCACTAATAAAGATGATTTCATTCACTATTTCTCCGCCCACAGCAATAGGACCAAAGAAGGCGTGGTCATTGGTTTCTTCCTTCGAGCTCTTAGAATCTGCAGCCCGGAATACCTGGAGGAAGAAATGCAACACGTCAACAACACCTTCCAACGCCTACGTTACCCTCGCGCTTTGCTCGCCCACCTCCGACGCAAGGCAGAGAAGATCATGTCCAGACCAAGAGGGGACGCAACACAGAACAAAACACACAGGATCATCATCCCACACTCGCAGCTGACGCATCACCTGGAGGCCCTGTTGGGCCATACGATGAAGATAGCCACCACGTCCGGTAAAAAGATCGGAGACATCGTAAGGGAAAAGAGGTCAGACCACAACAGACCTCTTAGCCAGGTTTACAGCATTCCTTGCGGCGGCTGCGATAGAGTCTACATAGGTGAGACAGGACGTGGCCTCCACGAACGACGAATAGACCAACATCGCGGCACCCTCCGACGACACGACACGAGAAGCGCCTTCGTCGTTCACGTCAACACCGACGGCCATCTCCCCAAGTGGTCCCAGGCCTCCATCATTAAGCAAGGCCTGCCCCCACGGCAAAGGAAGATGGTGGAAGCGGCATACATACACTCAACAAACAACTTCAACACCGCTACGGGGAGCCACGAACTAGCCAAGGTCGTCGCTCACCTGATCACCAACGTGACCTGACCGCCCAGTACTAGTATATATACTTCTATGTATCTCTTGTTATGTATGCCCTGAAGAAGCAATAAATTGCGAAAAGGCCTTCGGCATATTCGTGTGTTTTCCTGAACATATATGTATATATATGCATATCATGTATATATATATATATATATATATATATATATATATATATATATATATATATATATATATATATATATGTATATATATACCATATACAATATATAATATTGATACGTATAGATATAGATATAGATATAAATATATAGATAAATAGATAATATTTGCATATGTATATATGTATATATATATATTTATATATATATATATATATATATATATATATATATATATATATATATATATATATATATATATTTTTTTTTTATGTACATACATACATATATATATATATATATATATATATATATATATATATATATATATATATATATATATATATATATATATGAATGGCTATATGCATACTTATGTATATTTGCATATGTATATATAGATATATAATTATGTATACTTGCATATATATATATATATATATATATATATATATATATATATATGTGTGTGGTGTGTGTGTGTGTGTGTGTGTGTGTGTGTGTGTGTGTGTGTGTGTGTCTGTCTATACATATATGTATATATAGATATATACACAGACACACACACACACACACACACACACACACACACACACACACATATATATATATATATATATATATATATATATATATATATATATATATATATATATATGCATGTATGCATATTTATGTATATTTGCATATGTATATATAGATTATGTATAATCATGTATACATGCATATACACACACACACACACACACACACACACACACACACACACACACACACACACACACACACACACACACACACACACACACACACAGAGTAGACTTTAAAAGAGCCGAGACCATGCTGTTGTCTCGCATTATAATAATTTTGTAAAGATACCACATAATCAGTCATGTAATAATACAAACACCACATATAACTCCAAGGATTTTTTTTCATTTGGCGCCATCAAGAAATTCATTAACTCGGTTGCAGGTTATGGCAGACTTTCCTTCATACGTTATCGAGGAGTACGATATTATTTTGTCCTCAGTTTTCGCTATACATACATAACGCGTTTCCCACGGTGATATAGTGATATATGTGAAAGAAAGTTTATGTTGGTCGTATGGTCTCTCTGTCTGTCTGTCTCTCTCTCTATCTATCTATGTCTCTCTGTCTCTGTCTGTCTCTCACCCCCCCCCCCCCATCTCTCTCTGTCTCTGTTTGTCTCTCTTTCTCGCTCTCTCTCTCTCTCTCTCTCTCTCTCTCTCTCTCTCTCTCTCTCTCTCTCTCTCTCTCTCTCTCTCTCTCTCTCTCTCTCTCTCTGTCTTTAGCAACCCAATATCTTGTTCCAAATGGCAGAACAGACAGGCATTGGATATCCTGTATTTCGTTTTTCGATGATTTGAACACAGCAGAATTACTTCGGCCACTTTCGTCCTCGATTAAGAATGCTAAAAATTAAAACAGCAATATCGTTCAGGTAATATTATATACAGACATCAGTAACTATCAGGAACATCTATTGACTGATCTTATTTCCAAGGCAAACCGATTTTTACAAACCCATACCTTTAATATTTACCTCTATTTAGATTTGACACGAAAACGTTAATTAGAAAAAAAGCATTTACGACTTTTGAAGGGAGAACAGAGGATAAAAAAGTAAATATGAAAGTCAGCAAAAAGTGTCATATAGATTATTTTTCGAGGCATTATTAACAACTCCACAAGCAGACGTTATTTTTATTATTAGTTTATCCTCCTTCACCATATCGCTACACATTATAAGGCATTATAATTATCTAAGACATCTTTAAAAAAAAATCACCCCAGATATGATTTACTTGATGGTTTCCCGGAAAGACATCCATTTATTTCTAGGTTTAATCTATCAAAATGCAATGAAATCACGAAGAATTTTTCACGATAATTGTGCTGTTTAAGTCGGTGTTTATCCAGGGCATTATTAATTTTCACTGAAGACGTAATGGATTATCATTTTTAATATCATTATTATTAAATTGTGTGTATGCTATAGCCTAAATCATGGTATCAAATAATTAAGATTTTCCCACTATTAAGCTGCAAATAAAAGATATTGTTCTATTCAAAATAAATCTCTTTTTATATCAAGTTCAAGTACCGTCTATTCATCTACGTATCATTTTATGTGTATCACCATAAACGTATGTATAGTATACATACAAGTGTTTAAATGTATGCGCATATCAGTGCTTGCAATATTTATGAATATGTAAATACATTATGTTTATTTCTCTCTATCTAAGCCTTCCATTATATAAAAATATCATTCCTCCAAAAGAAATCTGTTCTTTGAAAAGTTTTAACCATACGCTCATCTGGTCTTTATAATCATTAAACATTTGTAAGCCAAATGAATCCTCAGGAGATTGCCTTTGTTTAAATGAATGTAGGAGTATCCCCAATAACTATTACGTTTTCTATGACTATGCGACACGCTTTCGTTTTCTTAGATAGTTTATTTATAAGGACCAACTATTACATAAATAACATTTCATTTGAATTGAGAAATGAACAAAAAAATACTATTTAATAAGATTGGAAATTGGAAA